CACACACACACACACAGAGGATAGTGGAATTCCCATCAGTAATCAGTGCAGCCCAGTGAAGCAGACTCAGCAAACTTGTGAGTGCAGGAATGGAGAGGGAGTGGTTTGTCTTTATTGAACCAATATAGAGTCAGAAAGGCAAGTCATAAAACACACTCTGAGTCATTCATTTGTTCACTGACATGTAAAACAAAACATTTCAGACATATCCATTCAAGTCATTTATCACTTCCTGCTGTCAGTGAAGAATCCTTAAAAAAAAGCTTAAAAAAATACCCCATCCTATCCAAAGTTGTATACTTCAACATCATGAGCATGTATAACTGTCTTTATCTAATAAAAGAAACTTAAATCTGTCTCTTTTCTTTCAGACTGTGAGTGCTACGGCCACTCCAACCGCTGCAGCTACATCGACTACCTGAACATTGTCACATGCGTCAGCTGCAAGCACAACACCAGGGGCCAGAACTGCCAACACTGCAGACTGGGATACTTCCGCAACGCCTCTGCCGAACTGGATGATGAGGGCGTCTGCATCGGTCAGTCTGCAGGGGGGAGAGAGAGAGGCATGGGGGGGGTTTGTCAGTATGGCGGTGGGGGAGTGTGTGTTTGACGAGGAGAGATGCTTAAGTTGTTGCTGCTTTTAAAATTAATGCAATTACTTAGATATTAAAGTGAAGATTACCACATCAAGGCAGTCTAGTGGTGAAACTTTAAATGGATGCAAACTGTGAAAAAAAACTAAAGAAAGAATATTTTTATCAAATATTTTTTCATAGCTGCTTGCCTGACACATTATGCGGTGTTGGCTCAGGATTTTAAAAGAAACAAAGACTATGAAATTAAAGCAGATTCAAGTTGAATGTGTTTATCGACTATCAGCTTAATAGTGAATAAATGTCCCGTAACTAATAATTGAACACCTTAACATAACTTTAAAGCTGAACTAATCAGTACTTTATTTTAACAATGGATCAAATGACTATGTGTTATTTGAAAGTAGTGATAAACGCAAAGAAAATACGTTTTAGTGTCTTTCCATACATTGTTTTTGTTTACAGCAACTTTTTTTCCTCTATTTTGGTTCACACTCACTGCTATAATCTGCATATAGATACCAGACGCAGGCATTCACTACTGCTTTGGTAGTTCCAGGGGATTCCTGACTTAAGCAAATGCAACAATAAGCTCAGGTGACTGACTTAATCAGTCAAGAACTTTCCATTGTTCCTACATAAAAAACATGTTGACTGTTTTAGGTTCACTGCGCTGCTGCATTGTCCTTAATCTAGAGATAAAAAAGTCCAACACTGTTCACATAATACTGATGCAAACACCCTCAAGCAGCCTTGAAGCTAAAAGTCAACACTTAAAACCTCATTTCCAATCCAATGTGCTGGAGTGCAGAGCCAAAACAACTAAAACATGCAACTGTTCTAATATGTACTGTATAGATACTCGTACATCTATATGATATACACTGTTTGTACCCTTCCACAGAGTATTTACTCTCTGTAAAACTCTTAATAAGGGCATGTCCTAATACTGTAAGAGGTCACTCTGTTTGCATAGCTGCAGAGCTCAAAATCTGGTGTTGATTTGGATCCATCTGTAGGTGGACTGCAGGGGGTTGGAGGGTAAACTCGCCACAGTTGGGGCACACACAAGGCCAGGCCTTGGAGTCAGCACAAATAAGGCCCCATTAGCTCATCTGCCAGCATACTGGCACCCCGAGCATGGCAACAGAAATCAGTTCACACCAGAGTCTCTAGAGCAAGAGACCAAACACTAATGCATTTGCACACAAATTTTACACAGCTATGCACTCTCCACACACATTCACTGTCAGCGGCTCACACAGAATTCCAGCATTAATGGACACGACCCACAAACACACGAACCAACCGCATTGCTGTAGTTGTGTGATCTGGGCCTCTTGGCTCGTTTCACTTTTATGAATATTTTATAATACATTTTATAGTAAATTAGTTAATTTGATCTTGGGTTTAAGTGAAAGACAAACTACCGGCTTACATCAAATCGTGAGAGAAACTTTTGTTCATCATCAACTGACAAATGCAATGCAAATAAGTAGCTCTGCAATTTGTTACCATCTCTGATCTGCTCACTGATCTAAATATCAGTCAGCTTCTATAAATATACGTATTTGTAATAATAAATACTTGCAGAAATGAGAGTAATCTATGAAAAAAGCAATCTAAAGACAAATTCAATGTCATTTTGTGTTAAATAGGTGAACTCTAGAGTTGTAAATCTGTCTCTGACTTCTGCTTCTTCCTCATCTGTTCAAAATACCACAATGTCCGGTACACTTATTCTACCCTGCCTTTGAAAGCAGATATTGTGATCAAAGGAACTTGCAGTCCTATTTAGATGGCATTAGTTTCCCAAACAACATCTGATATATACAGTACTTTCTGACATAGGACATCTGTCATTTTATTTTTCTGATGATGGAAGAGGAGTCGCTGTAGTCTCTTCCTAGTGTTGTAGGCTGTATGATAGGATTTGGTTCAGTGAACCTCTTGGAGACACTGGGACAGCTTGGTTACTGTATGAGAAAAAAAATTAGACCCTTGGGATCCAATAGCAGTTATAACATAAATAAATTGTGCTTTAAATCGCTGTAGTTTTTTGTCCAGGCAGCATCTGTGAGTTGTACATAAAACACACAAGACTGTGCTTTTGCATCTGAATTTTGACCACAAAGGTACAGATGATGGGCAAAACACAGAAATAGTTTGGGCTGAAAGGGTTTTAAATTTTAGTTCTGAATCTGCTGAATCTTGGAACATCTCTGTACTTTGAAGAAACTCCACCTTACATGCACAGCACTGTAGCTCTGAAGGGCTTCAATACCAAATACTGTGGTCTGAATACAAATGCGCACATTTTTGGCTGAACTTAATTCAACTCTAGTTTAAATCCCCCCAAAATTACAAGAGGCAGGAATTTCTAAATGACTCCATTTCTTTTTCCTCCACCACCCTCTTCTCTCAGAGTGTAACTGCAACCAGATGGGTTCTGTTCATGACCGGTGTAACGGCACAGGCTTCTGCCAGTGTAAAGATGGTGCCACGGGGGCCAAGTGTGACGACTGTGTGCCAGGATACTACTGGAAACAAGGCTGTTACCGTGAGTATAGGGAGACTGCTTTTTGGTGGGTTCATGTCTAAAAATCCAGGGACAAACAAATGTTGTAGCCTACCAGGACCTTTGCAAGTGCACTATGCAACTTAGCTCAGGCATCTCCTGATGTTTTCTTTACCCCCATGGGAATAGATCATGTAGCTCATTAGCAGCATCAGCTGCTCCTTTAATTGATGACCCTGTCACTCCTTAACCTCATTACAGGGAATCGCCTTCCTCTACCATCTACCATCTAGTCCAGGGCCTCAGTCTCACATAGACCTTCCCCATCTACATGCGCACACACACACAC